ACTATGGTAGTTATAAGTAGACTAGACGGGTGGTGGGGCGGCTTGCATGTGGGTTTTTTTTCTTCTCATTCACCCACCTTGCTCGCACTGTAGTGAGGGCGAATCAAAAATATCGGTTGTTGTTGGTGGGGGGGGAGGGGGGGGGGGAAGTGGGGGGGGGGGGGGGGGGGGGGGGGGGGGGGGGGGGGGGGGGTTGGGGATGAGAGTAGAAAGTGAAATGTCCTGATTGGAAAAGATATGAGAATTTGTAGCAGGGGCAGCCATGCTGGATAAAGGCCCTGATTGGTCTCAGGGAGTGAGGGGTAATGGGAAGTCCCTTCTCAGGGGACCGTCCAGGGAGGAGTCCAGATCACTCTCTGGTGAGGTGAAGGCCATTCCTTTAGCGAGCCACGTAGAATCAAGGGAACGTATACATAGGGTATGACTCTCCTGAGCAGAGCAAAGATCAGACCATAATGTTCCCACCCTGAATTGGATATTTCTTTCCAAAGGCTACAATCTGAGTTTAATTATTAAGCCTTACAAAGTGGTATTTTTAGGAGAGTCGTAATTTAATCCCTCCTCTCAAATTAAGGGAACATTTATGACTCCCCTAAAATTACCTGTGTAGAAGGCAGGGTTGTCACTAAGATTGCAAGATACCTGGTAAATATAACTAGTAGGCAGGGAATCAAACAGCTAGGGTTTTGTTTTGGTTCCATTTTTCTTCTATTTTCCAATGAAAGTAGCCGGGGGGCACATTCATAGTAGCTTGGGGAAATCCCTGGCACCCGGCTCTTAATGACAGCCCTGAGAAGGCTTCCATGATCAATTCAGTGCTAAAACAGCAACAAAATCAACAACACACATTCAATTTGCACACTCATTTCTATGATGTAATTAATTAGTTACTCTTTCCATTTATGCCAGTTTACCAACTCAATTGGTTGATGAACTGAAAAATGTTGCCAGTGAACCTGAGCAAGGCTCTAAAAGGTTGCGTCTTCTGTGTGCTGCCATCTTACGTGAGATAACTCCCACCAGCCAGCTTGTTATTGCAAGTTTGGATCCACCCATAGAACAGAAGTGTATTCCAATAATCTTACCGCTATCTTGGGTACAGGTAGGTGTGGTTGTGCTTTTGCTTTTAATAAACTGGTGTTTTGATCTTTTGTCATTTTTTTCAGAACATCACTTGATTGTTTTACAGAGGTGTTGTTATCTGATAGATTTGGAAGTGTTCATCTCTTTTTGTTGTTGTTGTTTCCTTTATTTAAGCAAAGCAAGGCACTGTATTGTGTGTCTCCACCCAGGTTAATTTTGCAGGTGGAATTTGCTCTCATAAAGTGAAACATGTTAGTTTCAACTTTATTTTGTAATTTGTATGTACCTGTTAATTAAAATAATATACATTTACATGAAGGAGTAACAACAAGCAAATCCATATGAACCGATTTGCGGTCATGTAGTGCTGTGTGACTTCACTTTTTTGGGTGCACAGTGGCACAGTGCTTATGTGTGCATCAATCCTGCACGTTAGTGTTTAGGTACCTCGTATCCTTCGGTTTTTAACACACGATGTATTACCAACGTATCAATTTATAAGATTTTGTCACATTTTCACCGTCATGATCCAGTGACGATTTTACTACGGTGAAATAGAGATGCTTGCACCCACTTTTGCAAAACTATCTGTACTGAAGAAGCCATGCAGGAATGTTGCAGATTAAATACATTGTACTTTTGGCGCAATATGTTAACAATATGTCAAAAGTAGTTTTAGAAATAATGAGAAAAGCAATCTGTTTTTAATATTTCCTGCAATGAAAGCGAGAACTTACCGTAGCAAAATTTTTTGCCTGGCATGCAGTGCGAAATTTCCATCGTGATTTAGGCCATTAAGTGGCTTGTACCACGTGAATTGAACGATCGCAGCACAGCGAGCAAGATAACATTTTTGTCTCGCTGATGCAAAGGTCAAACAAAACTCAACTCCAAAAATCTGCACAACTTTACAGAGACAAATTTTATCTTGCTTTCAACTTCCATTTCATACAGTGATATTTCTCATTTGGCCCTTGACTCCTTATGATGTTGCAACTCCCCTCTACTACCCCTTGAACATCGCACCACTTTGGTCTTTTATTTATTTATTTATTTATTTTATTTATTTATTTTCAGGGTCAAGATAGAGGCTACTGGTCAAAGCATGCCCCACAACTTGTTCAGTGTGTAATATTAGTCTGTAATTACGCTCATATACATGTACTAAATAGGCCTGCATTTCTGAGTTGCCACACTTAAGCCTTTGTTCCGAAGCCATTGATATGCAAATGATTTCATTCCCATGCAAATAAAACTCATTTTCAGAACAAAAGTTTTGCTGTTCATCGTCAGAATTTAGGAATTATCATTATTTTGAAATTCATTCATTAAATCTACATTTCTCTTTGGTTTACTCATTCATGTACGTATTATGTTGATTATTATATACATAATTATGATTACCATAATGATTATACCAGCCATTTGTTTGGCAATTATTTCTTTGTAAAAATATTGAGTAAGGTAATTTAATGAATCTCTAGGTCTGCATTATGTATAGTATGGTCTGTACAGTCTTTTTGTTTCTGATTATGTCTTCCTATAAAAGACCTAAGGATAATTTGGTTCTTCAGGTGGTTGACGAAACCTGGGGTTCCTGTGGAGCTACAGACACTATCACTTGGGTCTTTGCAGTTGCTGATGCATGTGGATGATAACATAATATCACAAGGTATTTAAACCTTCCACGTTTTTTTCAACTTTTGCTTGGGACCAGTAACTGGCTGATACATGCCTTAAAATTAGTAAAGATGCCAAGTTTGAAGGTGATTTGTTGAAAACTAACAAAAATATAGCTCCTCAAAAAAGTTTCTCAACTTTGTGGAACAATATCTTCACTCACTTCTAATTTGGTCACTTTTAACTTGGTAGGTTTCCTAATTTTAAGGTGTTCTTTCCAGCAGTGTCAATGGAAATTTGCTAACTGGTTTTCATCAACCATGGAAGGGTCTATTGATGTCACATCCGTTACTTGGGTTTGTGAAAAGCAGCTTTGCTCAATGCAATGAAATCATGTAAATACTCTGCCGTCATAATAAGGATTTATTTTCTTACAGTGTAA